ATCAAGATTGACCTCTAAGAAGGCATCATGACTACCCAATTCTCTAGGAGGATTAGTTAATCCATTATTACCTTTTATGAGCATGGTTACCATACAATTTAGTCCTCATGTCAACCTATCACATTATGATCTCAAACTTGGTTATTCATCTTATTCAATTATGATCACATAAGTTTTCTTCGATTCTCAAATGTCGTAGCTCATAGAGTAGACCAATTATGCTTTGTTGGTGTACTCTTACTATGACCATAGATTTCTTGAGTAGACACTTATCGAAATGCAATATGATAACTCCTTTAGCATACAAGGAATGACATGTCCTATCTTAGTCATACAACTATCTCCATTGGATTCCTAGTGCACCCAACGAATCGCTCACGTGCAACCTATTAATTGGTCCATCTAACGAGTGTCAAAGTGCATAAGTCCTCTAATGAGATAAACATGACGAATTCAAGTCTAAGGACCATTTGTACCCATCTTGTATGAGATTCCCATAGACTAAAACCAAATGGGTTCTCATGGCGAGTCAAGTCCAAGTGATATGTTCTCTAACATAAATCACCTAAGTGCTTGCTTTGGCATCACCACACTAATAGGTGTGAGATCTCCTACTACTATCACATAGCATAAGTATAACACTCACAAGTCTATTCGTATTTGTCAATGTCCATTCTTGACAATGCTATGACTTGAAAATTTTAATGATATCATTTATATGCATTAATATTTGTCTCATATCTTTCAATCAATAACTATTGCAAATGCATATCATAAGGACTTCTATATAATTCTACTAAATATGTAAACATAAGAATTAACAAAATGACTTCTTTATTATTATCAAAATAAATAATGCAATGATACATTAACTCAAGCCCATCCATACATGGTTGGATCTTGGGCACTTACACTAACATAATATATCTATTGTTAATGATAATATAAGGGGTTACCTTCAGAATCATTTCCCCTTGATAATTACAATTGATATATTACTCATGCCCTTGATAAAAAGGAGATATAATAATAAATCTTCTAGGATGGAGATGAGTATTCGACATGGTAAGCATTCTATAAAGATGTTAAACGATTAAGATCGGTGAGTATATAAAATAATGTTATAAACAAAGCTTATATCTTTATCCATCCGTTAGAGATTTTCTCTTCGAGTTCATCCGATCAATCTATAATAGACCAATCAATATCTATTCTTTCTCCCTTATTTAAGGGCTCAACAAAAAGATATATTTCCAAAGGAGGATCGAGAGAGTAACTCATTTATATATTAGATAACCTAATATTGGGTGAGAATATAGCCGATATCATAAAAGGTATCTTTGCTATCTTTAACACTATGGTGATATTCCTAAATTTCTTACATACCTTCATTTCCCCCTCTTGTCTACTCGGGGTTCATAAGAGTGGAATAGGTATATTATCAATAGTAATCTCTCTTGATAAGGAATGCCCTTCACGTAAAAATATAGTTTTCCAAGGATGGACCATAACTTATGGATATTATTCACCAATTTAATGATATTAGGAACCATCTATGTCCATTATCCCCTACACAATAAACTATACCATGAATATATCGGTCCCTCTTGTAATGGAATAGTTCATTCATGGATACCCTAATTATATTTATACGGTTTATAGCTCAAATCCGTTTTCCCCTATCTAGAATTGGGTTCATATACTAATAACCATAATTTATCATAATGGGCCATTTGTTATCAATTAGTTTATTTATGTGTGTTTGTGTAATTTAGTGGCCATTGACTAGATTGGGCCATCAATAAGGGATATTGTAATAGACCTAATATTGAGGTGGCTATTTCATTAGATTATTACTATATATACTCGGGTTCTCATAAGGAGATTATTATCAATTTAATGATAATGATCCTCCACTAGTTATCGTTACTATATTAACCATAATGGTCACTCGTTAGTTGAACCTATGGTTTATAAGCTGATACCAACTTAGATTAGGTATTAATGGTCCCTATCCAATAACTTTTTTCGAGGGTTGGCCACTAAAATAAGTGCTCACCTAGTGTTAATTAGGCCATGATAATCTCCTTTTATACCCTTATGTTATGACTCAAAGGTTCCACGGATATCCATATGGTCAAAATATGGGCTTATTAGTGACTTAATAATTTTAAGGACCCTAAACTTAATGATTACAAATGTGATAGGACTAACTACCATCATATCAAAGATTTATTTTGTATTGATAAATACCATTGTTAATACTAATAGGTCATTATTGGCCCCATGCGTATGACGAGATATAGGATGATATAATCCCTCTAGCTATTAGTAATTATTATTAATGTCAACCAAATTAATCTATTAATGCCTCCTCTTGAATAGAGATATCTTATTTCTAATTTGATCAACCAGAGGGATTATATCATCCTATACGTGTCATACGCATATAAAAAGGCTATTAGTCCTCTGCAATTCAGCAACCAAAATGACTATATCAAAACGAGATAGGTAGATCAATTATCAATGCCATATATTATTAAGGTTATTAGTCATATGCAATTGAAAGGAGGTACATATATCTATAGTCCTATTATCATAAAGAGGGACCTTTTACTATAACGAATCAATACATTATATGGTACTAATTCTACTATTAGAGTGAGAGATAGGGGAGAGGTGATTCTCGTATGTTCCTCGTCAAGCTAAAAGTAAGGATAATATTATTAAGTTATGGAAAAATTACATCATCTACGAATAGATTTAAATCAATTTAATTGCCTTTCATCATAGGAAGGTAGAAATAGATAATCACTTATAATATGTGCCAAATTACCAAGTTGTCTATTATTGGAGAGGCTCTATTTGATCTTTGAGTCTTATGATGATAAGTCAAGATGAATGTTGTAGCAATTATTAGTCTATCTTTAATGGAAGTAACAATTGATTCCCACTCGAAAGGAAATATAACGACCTAGTTAATCAAAGCTCATAATGAAATTATGAACATTTAATAAGTTAGTACCACTCATCATACTTATTATACAAGGAACCTCAATGATTGTGTCATCATAGGTTAATGAGTCCTATAACAAATATCAATTATTAGAGTTGAAAAGACCATTTTATGTTATTTGTATTCTCCTAATAAATAATATCATTATATGTTAGTCTAATATAATAATTTGATATCGGTTAGCTTCCTATAATTAGCAAGAGTGATATTATTATTACAATAGAAACTTAATATAAGTGGGCAATTATATGATATTCCCATAGACTAATACAGAAATGACCTCGTCATAAAAACACCAATTCCAATAGCCTTTTCACTATGACCCAAACAATAAGGATCATATACTCCTTCAATAATACAATTTTATTGCTATATTCATGAAATTCCTTTTAGAAGAAGGTCATTCCCTATATTAGTTATTAATTACTATATTAGTCTATGGGAATATAGGGTAGTTTTCCTATAACGATACTAGTATAGTGAGTGAATTAGAGATTATTACCTAGCTTAGATTAATCAACGTTAATTATGTTAATCATCGTATATTATAATTATATTAATCATCTGTATATTATTAAAAGTATTAGCTATATAATTAACCCTTAATAGTCCCTTCTTATAGGTAGGATGTTAAATTCTAGCCCCACACTAGAGTCCTATCAAAATAGTCCCTTCTATATTCCCTCCCCATCTCTCCCTTTCAGCTAGGACCAATAGGCCCATATTGTATAACTAAATGAGGTTATATATCAAACAATTATCATGATTGTTTGATATATACCTAACATTTATTGTGATGTTAGTTGAGAGGAGATAATAAACTGGAATGTTCAAGTTAGTAGTAAGGGATAACTTTTGGGAATATATTTTTATAGCCATAAATAGATTGGTATAATCCTTAAGGTAACATCCTACCAATTAAAGTGGATGGCCAATTAACAAAATAACCTAATCAAATATAACCTCCAAGATTAATACAACATTGTTACCTAGGTGTTTAGTTATTAACGCCAAGATACCATCATAGAAAAAAAGACAAACATCACAATAATTATATGATGAGCATGGTAAATTTCATTCACGGAAGTTAGGAAAAATGCCTTGAATTGCCTCATGATTAACTATACCAAATTTATAGTTATGAAGTGGATACCACGGATAAGTGAGTATCCATTAGTATAAGACAAAACCATTCCCCCTTAAGTTCATATTTAACACTATATTTATTCTAATTACCAACATGGTTGATTCTCAATCCGTTTTCCCCTATACCTTTTATAATCCTAACCGAGTTCAAGATAGATAGTTATTGACATCCTATATCATTATAAGATTCCCCCTCGTGGAAATCATTTGTTTATAAATTAATCTTTCATGTTAATTGAGTGAAAAGGTATAAAAATATTATTAATCGGTTATAATGGGTAATAACGAATAGTTATTTATTCCTCTATCCCAAATAAATCTTGAGAATGTTAATAGAGGAAGAATATTATGATAATATACAACTATAAAATTGTCCGACTACCGAGTGTATATAAGAATTTTGATGTCATGTTAATCTTTTAATCCATTTTTATTAACATTGCAGTTGAGAATCGAATGTCTTATGACTATAACAATTGTGCGGAATTTACTATGTTAATATTCTCAAGTCCCTCTAAGAGATAATTTCACCTATAAGACCATAGTTTGATGGATTATAGGTTATACGAATTTGTTTGAAAAAGGATAACCCATATCTCCCTAATTCTTGCCGACATTCATTGAAGCATGAGGATAGATCATAACAAAATAACAAAGTGGTTAATTAATGAAAACCAATTATTTTAGGCCATATACTAGTTAGTAATCTCCTTAATGGGGTGTATTATGATCCACTTGGCTCTCCTTACACCCAAGCTAATAGGATATGATATGATCGATTAGTAAACTCTCTAAACAAGGATAGGGGCCCATAGATACTTTGTAATTATAATATTAGGGAGAGCCGATTTAGCTAAGTCCATGGTACAAAGAATGTGAGTTCATCCTATAGCTCACAAATTAGACATGGTGCCTACTTGATATAAAGCTATTATATTCCACAAACTATCCATAATTTATTAATGAGGTAGGCAGATAATTAATAGTCTAGGATGAATTGGATAAAGAATCAATCATGTTGTTCGAAAAAGGGTAATATTATTTATAAACAAGTTAATAGCCTAAATTATGATGTCTAAAGAGGATAAGATGAGAATAATGCAAGCTCAATAAGCATTTACATCTATATTATGAGTATATAGACATTGGGCATAATATGGGGCCAACACATTGGGACCTAGTAAATATATATTGTTAGATTATAGTGAGTACCCTCAAGAGAGAGAGAGAAGAGAGGGAGATTAGCCCTAAATATAGTGTAACCAAGTTTGCTATAACTTCAAACTTGATTACAAGAGTAGGACTATATTTACCCTTATAATAATTGGTTATATAGGCTTCACCCAATATTAGGCCCTCTATTTACCCTTATAATAATTAGTCATACAATTATAGTATGGAGATAATATATAGCTTAGGATTTTAAAACATCTTAGTGGTTTGATAATCTTTACCGAGGATTGTACTACCTAAACTATATAAAATTTAATATATAGCAAACCCATTAGTCTTAAGTGTGCTTTTATGTAGGATATTTTGTATTATAACCCCATGATAACTATAGAATATTTTAAAATGATTAACTCAACCAGCGGCTATCCATTATGTTAGTGATTAATCCCAACCAATTATAATCTTCACCCTCAAATGGTTAACTTATCCGTCATTAGCCATGGATCATTTCAATGATAGTTATTATCCTTTAACAATGGATATAGCCTTAGTGCTATGAAGGATAAGTTAATGGAAAGAGGCCTACCATTATTGATATATCCCTATAATGAAAATTAAACTTAAAGAATTACCCCTATGTCCAATAATAACTAATAGGAGGTCCCCATTATCAAATCTATTATAAACATCTCTTAGATTACTATGGTACCCCTTATGTTGCATTGATCATAATTATAGCTAATTGAGAGGAATACCCTATTATGAAAGAATAAGTTTATCAATATATCCTTGTTAACATTTTTACTAGCATATCACTAGACTGACAATATAAAAAGAGATTATATCATCATACCTATAGTAGTCTAAAATAGAGTTAAACCAGGTTGATTTCCCTTGAAATCATGATATCATTACTCTTATCACTTGTAATGATAAGGAGTGAAAGATTGTGTAGGCACCAACTTAATATCATAAGTGATATGATAGTGCCAATTCCTCTTTCACTCATAATTTATTATAGTAGAACACTTGGAATATTGAGATCCTATTAGGGAGAGGGAATAGCCTATGAATTGCCTAAAATTAATTTTCATGGCATACTAAGGCATTAGTGATCTCCCAATATTTAATTCAGCTCGTTGTGCTCTCCATAGATACCTAAATATCTATGGCGTCTCAAGTATATATATAAATAAGATAATCACATGATCACTTATTAATATAGGATAAGTTAATGCTTGAGAGGGCGAGAGATAGACTGTCGCCATGAATAATAAGAAAATTACATAGGCTATAAATCATTTAACCATCATAGTATATTTATACGACTTATATGTATAATGAACATAATAGTTGATGACAATATGAGACGAGACTAATCATTGTCATCTTTTTAATATAAGGATGATTATTTGACTACATTCCAATAGTTATTTCAACTCATATATCTTATTTATTAACAAAGGACAAGTCAGAGAATTAGCCTATCCGGTATTGATAAATAAGTGTAAATATACTAATGGTATAATAAGTCTATCTATAATAATTTTATAGTTCACTAGATTTATATTGTATGTTTAGATCTAATATAAACCTTGCCTCCAAGATCACACCATGGATCATACCCTAATATTAGTCGTTTATTCTAAAATCTATGGTTATTTGATAGCTCAATAAGTTACATCTATGATGGTCCATAGATATCCGGTTGTCACTTCCATAAAATACCTCTCTCTCCTAATTATGATAGAATGATATAATTAAGTGAGTTAATATTGTAAAACTCACCATTCTATATCTCCTTATATCAAGACCACGATATCACATTATACAATTAACCCTCTACCTTAATGATAGTCACTAATTTATCATATATTGGACCTTTTTATTGCTTTTAAGTCCTACCAACTTATACATGTTAGTATAATCTATATGAGTAGGAGGCCACTTGGTGGGTCATACAACAAAAAAGATTGTGCAATACCCGAGCTCATAGGGTATTAAATAGCAAACACTTATTAGAAGAATTATAATCCCTAATAGGTTATTTACCTTCTTGTTATAGAATAAATCAGATGTGTATTTGTACAACCCTTATGGGAGAGCGATGGTATTACCTCTAGAATGCCACATCTATAGATAAGAGCCAACACATTCATCATAGAGAGGGAACCCTATACTACTCACATATGATGATACATTAAATCTAATGTTCCCAATACTTTACTATTGTGATTTCATCTCCTTATGTTATCCAATTCCATTGGACATTGTACTAATTAGGTATACCCATTAATCTTAAGAGGAGGGGGAACCCTATTAATCGGTTAAGATAAACTTGGTATGCTTGGAGTATTAATTGAAATCATAAGAATTACTAATTATAACATCATGGAACCATATTCATTATAATTGGTATATTAAATAGTCATAATACCAGTATTATAACTCTTATCTAATAAGGATAATGACCTAATATAGGATCAATATATTGGCCTCACTTTGTCTTTATATAGACCAACCTCCCTCAATGTTTACCCAATGAGAAAGGATATTGATTTAATATAGAGGGAGAGGGACCATGAGTTATGTAATTGGTAATAGGTTATCATATTATATGAAGTGATCATTTGCTTGATCATAGGAGAACTCACCAAAATTTGGCCACTCTCTCTATATACGGATCTTCATACTCATGATATGAAAGGTCGGATATTTGACACCTCCCGGTTTGAGGTTTTTCGGACCTATATCATGGCAAAAGTGACAACCATAGAGACTCTTTGGCCTTTACCGTGAGCTGAGGTTGATTTTCGCTCAAAAATGACCGACCAAGTTTTGAGCGAGTTTTAGACCTAGTTCGACGACAAACAAGCCAATGATAAAAAGGCATTGCCTATGCCATGACCTCGAGGTGATTTTTGTAAAAAAAAAATGACGTTTAGGTCGAGAAAATACGGTTTCTAGTTTTTTCGAGATGATGCGGGCATGCGGGCTTTCGAGTTCTCGGAAGGACCGATGTGAACGAGCATGAAAATATTTATAGGAAAACTATAATCCCTAGTTTGAGGTTTTTGAGACCTACCTAATGGCAAAAGTGACAACCATAGAGACTCATTGGCCTCGACCGTGAGCTAAGGTTGATTTTCGCCCAAAAATGACCGACCAAGTTTTGAGCGAGTTTTAGACCTAGTTCGATGCCAAACAAGCCAACGATAAAAACTCATTTCTTTTGGCCATTACATTTGGGTGATTTTTGTAAAAAAACAATGTTTAGGCCGAGAAAATACATTTTTTTAGTTTTTCGAGATGATGCGAGCATGGAAGCTTTCAAGTTCTCGGAAGGACCGGTGTGAACGAGCGTGAAAAAATCTATAGCAAAATTCTAATCCCTAGTTTGAGGTTTTTGAGATGTACCACATGGCAAAAGTTACAACCATAGAGACTTTTTGGCCTCGACCGTGAGCTGAGGTTGATTTTTGCCCAAAAATGGTCGACTAAGTTTTGAGTAGTTTTAGACCCGGTTCGATGCCAAACAAGCCAACGGTAAAAACTCATCACCTTTGGCCATAACCTTGGGGTCATTTTTGCAAAAAAAATGACATTTAGGCCTAGAAAATACACTTTTCTAGTTTTTCAAGATGATGTGGGCATGCAAGCTTTCAAGTTCCTGCAAGGGTTGGTGTGAACGAGGGCGAAAAAATCTATAGGAAAATTGTAATCCCAAGTTTGAGGTTTTTTGAGACTCGCCTCATGGCAAAAGTGACAAGCATAGAGACTCATTGGCCTCGACTGTGAGTCGAGGTTGATTTTTGCCCCAAAATACTCGACCACGTTTTGAGCATTTTGAGACCTAGTTCGATACCAAACAAGGCAACAAAAAAACTCATGGCCTTTGGTCATGACCTCGAGGCGATTTTTATAAAAAAAAACTACGTTTAGGCCCGGAAAATACACTTTTCTAGTTTTTCGAGATAATGTGGGCATGCGGGCTTTCGAGTTTCTGGAAGGCCTGGTGTGAAGAGCGTGAAAAAATCTATAGAAAAACTGTAATCCCTGTTTTGAGGTTTTTGGGACTTACATCATAACAAAAGTGACAACTATACGGACTCATCGGCCTTGATCGTAAGCCGAGTTTGATTTTTTCCCACAAATGGTCAACCAAGTTTTGAGCGAGTTTTAGACGTAGTTCGATAACAAACGAGGCAATGATAAAAACTCATTGCCTTTGGCGATGACCTCGGGGTGATGTTTGCAAAAAAATGACGTGTAGGCCTAAAAAATACAATATTCTAGTTTTTCAAGATGATGCGGGCATGCGGGCTTTCGAGTTCCCGGAACGGTCGATGTGAACGAGCGTGAAACGATCTAGAAGGAAACCGTAATCTCTAATTTGAGGTTTTTGGGACCTACATCATAGCAAAAGTGACAACCATAGAGACTCATCGGCCTCGACCGTGAGCCGAGGTTGATTTTCGACCAAAAATAGCCGACCAAGTTTTGAGCAATTTTAGACCCGAGTTCGATGCCAAACAAGCCAAAAATAAAAACTCATCACCTTTGGCCATAACCTTGGGGTCATTTTTGCAAAAAAAATGACATTTAGGCCTAGAAAATACACTTTTCTAGTTTTTCAAGATGATGTGGGCATGCAAGCTTTCAAGTTCCTGCAAGGGTTGGTGTGAACGAGGGCGAAAAAATCTATAGGAAAATTGTAACCCCTAGTTTGAGGTTTTTGAGACCTGCCTCATGGCAAAAGTGACAAGCATAGAGACTCATTGGCCTCGACTGTGAGTCGAGGTTGATTTTTGCCCCAAAATACTCGACCACGTTTTGAGCATTTTGAGACCTAGTTCGATACCAAACAAGGCAACAAAAAAACTCATGGCCTTTGGTCATGACCTCGAGGCGATTTTTATAAAAAAAACTACGTTTAGGCCCGGAAAATACACTTTTCTAGTTTTTCGAGATAATGTGGGCATGCGGGCTTTCGAGTTTCTAGAAGGCCTGGTGTGAAGAGCGTGAAAAAATCTATAGAAAAACTGTAATCCTTGTTTTGAGGTTTTTGGGACTTACATCATAACAAAAGTGACAACTATACGGACTCATCGGCCTTGATCGTGAGTCGAGTTTGATTTTTTCCCACAAATGGTCAACCAAGTTTTGAGCAGTTTTAGACGTAGTTCGATGGCAAACGAGGCAATGATAAAAACTCATTGCCTTTGGCCATGACCTCGGGGTGATGTTTGCAAAAAAATGACGTGTAGGCCTAAAAAATACAATATTCTAGTTTTTCAAGATGATGCGGGCATGCGGGCTTTCGAGTTCCCGGAAGGGTCGATGTGAACGAGCGTGAAACGATCTAGAGGCAAACTGTAATCTCTAGTTTGAGGTTTTTGGGACCTACATCATAGCAAAAGTGACAACCATAGAGACTCATCGGCCTCGACCGTGAGTTGAGGTTGATTTTCGACCAAAAATAGCCGACCAAGTTTTGAGCAATTTTAGACCCGAGTTCGATGCCAAACAAGCCAACAATAAAAACTCATTGCCTTTGGCCATGACCTTGGGGTGATTTTTACAAAAAAAGACGTTTAGGTCGAGAAAATACACTTTTCTAGTTTTTTGAGATGATGCGAGCATGAGGGCTTTCAACTTCGTGGAAAGCGGGTGTGAACCGAGCGTGAAAAAATCTATAGCAAAATTTTAATCCCTGGTTTGAGGTTTTTGGGATGTACCTTATGGCAAAAGTGACAACAATAGAGACTCATTGGCATCGATTATGAGTCGAGGTTGATTTTTGCCCAAAAATGGCCAACCAAGTTTTAAGTAGTTTTAGACCCAGTTTGATGCCAAACAAACCAACGATAAAACTCATCACCTTTGGCCACGACCTCGATGTGATTTTTGTAGAAAAAAGACGTTCATTTTTTTAGTTTTTCGAGATGATGCGGGCATGTGGACTTTCCGAGCTCCTATAATGGTCGGTGTGAACGAGGGCGAAAAAATCTATAGGAAAATTGTAATCCCTAGTTTGAGGTTTTTGAGACCTACCTCATGGCAAAAGTGACAAACATAAAGACTCATTGGCCTCGACTATGAGTTGAGGTTGATTTTTGCCCCAAAATCGACGATCGAGTTTTGAGCGAGTTTTAGACCTAGTTCGATGCCAAACAAGGCAACGATAAAAACTCATAGCCTTTGGCCATGACCTCGTGGTGCTTTTGTAAAAAAATGACGTTTAGGCCCGGTAAAATACACTTTTCTAGTTTTTCGAGATAATGTGGGCATACGGGCTTTCGAGTTCCTGGAAGGCTCGGTGTGAACAAGCGTGAAAAAATCTATAGGAAAACTATAATCCTTGGTTTGAGGTTTTTGGGACCTACATCGAGCAAAAGTGACAACTATAGAGACTCATCCACCTTGATCGTGAGCTAAGGTTGATTTTCGCCCACATATGGCCAATCAAGTTTTGAGCAATTTTAGACCTAGTTCGATGGAAAATGAGCCAACGATAAAAACTCATTGCCTTTGGCCATGACCTCGGGGTGATGTTTGTAAAAAAACAACGTTTAGGACTAAAAAATATAATATTTTATTTTTTCAAGATGATGCGGGCATGCGGGCTTTCGAGTTTCCGGAAGGATCGGTGTGAACGAGCGTGAAACAATCAATAAGGAAACTATAATTCCCGGTTTAAGGTTTTTGGGACCTACATCATAGCAAAAGTGACAACCATAGAGACTCATAGCCCTCGATTGTGAGCTGAGGTTAATTTTTGGCCAAAAATGGCCGACCAAGTTTTGAGCGAGTTTTAGACCCGGTTCGATGCCAAACAAGCCAACGATAAAAACTCATTGCCTTTAGCCGTGACCTCGGGGTGATTTTTGCAAAAAAAACAACGTTTAGGACTATAAAATACACTTTTCTAGCTTTTTTAGATGATGCGGGCATACGGGCTTTCGAGTTTCTACGAGGGATGGTGTGAATGAGGGTGAAAAATCTATAGGAAAATTGTAATCCCTAGTTTAAGGTTTTTTGAGACTTGCCTCATGGCAAAAGTGACAAGCATTGAGACTCATTGGGATCGACCGTGAGCCGAGGTTTTTTAGCGAGTTTTAGACCTAGTTCGATGCCAAACAAGGCAACGAAAAAACTCATGGCCTTTGGCCATGACCTCGGGGTGATTTTTACAAAAAAACTACGTTTAGGCCAAGAAAATAGACTTTTCTAGTTTTTCGAGATAATGTGGTCGTGCGAGGCTTTCGAGTTCCTAAAAGGTCCGGTGTGAACGAGCGTGAAAAAATCTATAGGAAAAGCCGTAATCCCCGCTTTGAGGTTTTTGGGACCTACATAATAGCAAAAGTGACAACCATAGAGACTCATCGCCCTCGATCGTGAGCCGAGGTTAATTTTTAGCCAAAAATGGCCGACCAAGTTTTAAGCAGTTTTAGACCCGAGTTCGATGCCAAACAAGCTAATGACAAAAACTCATTGCCTTTGGTCGTGACCTCGGGGTGATTTTTGCAAAAAAAAACAACGTTTAGGACGATAAAATACACTTTCTAGTTTTTTGAGATGATGCGGGCATGTGGGCTTTCGAGTTTCTACAAGGGATGGTGTGAATGAGGGCAAAAAAATCTATAGGAAAATTATAATCCCTAGTTTGAGGTTTTTTGAGACTTGCCTCATGGCAAAAGTGACAAGCATTAAGACTCATTGGCCACGACTGTGAGCCGAGGTTGATTTTTTTCCCAAAATACCCGACCAAGTTTTGAGCGAGTTTTAGACCTAGTTCG